CACACACACACACACACACACACACACACACACACACACACACACACTAAATAAATAAATAAATAAATAAATAAATAAATAAATAAAATGAATATTTATTTTTATTAGCATGTATTAATTGTCAAAAATAGTGGTTTCATTATGACACAATTATACATATGTAACATGCTTTGATCACATCCTATTACCTCTTTTGTCCCCCCTTTGGGTAACTTTTGTTTAAGGCATAGGCAATGGGATCCTGAACCCTGAATACTTAATTTGGAACAAACATCTGATATCAATTTCTGTGCCACTGGGACTTGTAAGTAAACAGGAAGCACAGGCTGACTCCGCAAATTGCTATAGCTAACAGGTACCACCACTGTGTATTAGGCAAACCACAGGTTCAATAAAATTGAGACAGACAGCCACCACTGTGGCCACCTGGACTATTTAACTCAACAAAAGTTTAATAAGAACATGACCAAATTCATGGGATCGGGGAAAGGAATGACGGAGCTGAGCAGAGCATCTTGGACTTTGGACAGAGTGGGGCACATTTTACTTCACCCCCTGTATCTGTGTCCCCAGGAACCTGCGTTCTCTTGTTCTTCCTGAGTGCTCACTCTTCAGACTAGCCCTGACAAACGGCAACTCATGAGTTAGTTCTTCAGGTGCAAACTCTGGAGTCTCCATAACCCAAAGTCGGTCTCTGCCTCTTCCTTCCCTCTCTCCCTCTCTCTTCTTTGCTCTTTCTCTCTCCTCCCATCCCCCTCCTCATACACGTTTTGACTCTATTTTCAAAATGTATTCATAAACTGACCCCTTCACATCATCTCCACAGCTGTTGCCTCAGTCCGAGGAACGTTTCCTAATGGCTTTCCTGCAACAGCCTCTACAGCAGCAAATGGCCGCCTTCAACGGAAGCCATATCATAAAACACCTAAATATTTCCCTGAGAATCAAGACAAGTCCTTACAGTGTGCGTCAAGGTGCTGAGCCCCTGACCCCTTTGTGAGCTAGCTCCCCGTCTCACCAGCTCACTTTGTGTCAACCACACTGACCCCTTTGTACGTCTATTCTCAAATACTATACTCCAGGGGTGTTAGCCCATCAAGGCCTCAGTAATGACAGCTCCTGTCGGCACGCCTCTCTCACCAATACCAAGATCACTCCAGGATCTGCTCAAAGGCACCTTCCCAGAAGGTCTTCTCTACAACCCTGTAACCTCCTCCTGATTCTCCTCTCTCTCTCCTCTGACTCTGTCTCTTTTATCATTTTACAATACACCTTCTCTATTTTAGCCTCCAGAGAGAACATCAGCAGAAATTGTCTTCTTTTTCACACGAAGCCCTAGCAATCAGATTCTTGCCAGGACTCGGTCAGTGCCCAAGAAACATTTGGTAAAGGAAGAAGTAACTTAGAGATTTACTCAAAGATGCTGCACTACCGTGCTTACAGCATTCCTGACCTAGTTTGGAAATGACCTTGCCTCTTGCCCTTGGCTGAAAGCTTGGTAATATCTTTGCAAAAACTTGCTATAGGGTAAGTTGCCTGTGTTAGGTTTCGGATGTCAGCAGAAGAGTCAAGTTTCAAAGTCAAGGAGAAAACCTGGACATAGAAGGGGCTGGAGTGGGAGCAGGAGGGCTATAACATAGAAAAACAAAACCCCATCCCTCAGAGTTGAGTTAGAGACACCAGGCCACTCTACAGAGACTGTTCCCATTTCCACTCAAAGATGAGTTAGAGACACCAGGCCACTCCACAGGGACTGTTCCCCATGCTACTTCTCCGAGTCCTTGGCTGTCTGGATGGATGCTATGGCACACACTGGTGAGTGCATTGATTATGATTATTCCGTTGGCATAGGTCTACCCTTTAGGTTCCTGAGGTCTAAGAAAAATGACTTTATATATACTGTTTGTGCTTGTGTATACACATGTGCAAAAAAACATAAAGTTATCAACTTTAATTTTTAAGCTAACATAAAAGACAAAGAAACAACAGATTTATAGACTTGATTTAATTCTTTAGACTGTGAATACAAGAGATGACCGTATGATATGTCATTTCTTTGAAAATTTCCATAGGTTTAAAAAACCTTTCTATCAAGTACATTTATTTTATTTTTATTTATGTGTATGGATGGATGTCAAAGGATAACTTGCAGGAGTCCGTTCTCTCCTCCCACAATGGGGTCCCAGGAATCAAACTCAGGTGGTTAAGGCTTGGTGGCAAGTGCCTTTGCGCCATGGGCCATCTCTCCAGCCCTTGGATGGTTCTTAATAGAAGATGGTAGAGAGCTCGGCAAGTATGAGAAACACTAGTTTTGACACTAGGCAAAGGGTCTGGAAATGACAACTGAATGAAAAGAAACCTTTGTTCAGTTCTAACAAAGCAAGTGTTTAAAACACCACTAGACAACACTAAAAATTAGAATAATAAGCCGGGCGGTGGTGGCGCACGCCTTTAATCCCAGCACTCGGGAGGCAGAGCCAGGAGGATCTCTGTGAGTTCGAGGCCAGCCTGGGCTACCAAGTGAGCTCCAGGAAAGGCGCAAAGCTACACAGAGAAACCCTGTCTCGAAAAACAAAAAACAACAACAACAAAAAATTAGAATAATGTCTTGAGGACTTTGTCTTCAAATATTATCCCGCCCCCCCAAGAATGAATTCATAAGAGCTAAGAGGGGTCTAGTCTACATCTCAGTAACTTGTATCCATTTATCATCTTGTTCTTTCATTAAGTCTGGGTGGGAGACTAGCTCTGTTCCCAGCAACCTAGTGAACATTACAGGGAAACAAACGTAAATGTTTCATTCTTAGAAAGTTCAAGTTTTTGCTTTTGGTTCCACACGCCATCTGCATAGTAAGCCATTCAAGAGCGGTTCTAAAGTAAGACAGAGTGATTTAAAAATAAGCTGTGTGTGTGTGTGTGTGTGTGTGTGTGTGTGTGTGTGTGTGTGTGTGTACCTGTGTGTGTAGGACAGAGGACAACCTTGGGTACTGTTCTTCTTTCACTGGCTTGGAGCCACCAATGAGGCTATGCTGGATGGCCAGAGGTTCTCTAGGGTCCACCTGTCTCTGCTTCCCCAGCTGGAATTACAAGGCCAGCATGTCTGGCCTTTTAAATGGATTCTGGCAATCTAACTCAGGTTCTCATGCTTACAAGACACACGCTTTAATGACTGAGCCATCTCTCCAGTCCTAAAAAGAAGCTTATTAGTAACTATGGTCCACAAAAGCTCCTTTACAAAATACTATTTCAGACATTCCTATAGCCTTGTGCATATTCTTCATATCCCACAGATCATCACAGATGGTGGAAATGGAGGCCACAACATGACCCTTCATTTCTTTAAGATTAGATGATTCAAACAGGAGTTTAACACATCCTCATATATGTATGTTTTATATATAGTTTTGAAAGTGCCAATTCTGTCAAAAGTCACTCCATAAAAATCAAGTATTTGACATTTTATTAATAACTGTGTGTAACATAATTCTAAAGGAAACTATTCAGGGATGGGGTTAGGTTGCTAAGGGGGTGTGGGGCATCTAAAGCTGAACTGTATGGAGAGGATCTAGATAAGGTCTCAGAGATGACAGATATCCCAGGCTGGGGCATCAGCAGGAACAAAGCAGGAGTACCTGCTTGACAGAGGGGAAGGAGAAAGACCTGGGGGGAGAGGAGGCATGCAGAGTGTCAGAATATGGGCTGTTTCCGATAACTGATATAGTCTGACTGACAGAGGACCTGAGATGCCCACCCAGAAGAGACAGTTTCATCCAGCAGCACACAGAACCCATGTTTAGAAAGCTCGATCAAGCAGGAGGAGGTACTGGAGAAAGACAGTCAGACAGGATAAAGATGAATTGTAAACCATGGAGTACAGCATTTAGTGCTGGCCACGCACCTGCCAGATTCTAAGTGACTTCTCCATCTCTGTGGATGTTCGTCAGCATCTCAGGCTCAAGGTCTGCTGGATCTTCTGCTTTCCCACAATTCTACTTTAGCAACCCACCTCACCTGCACCATGCTGTACAGGATGTTTCATCACTTGAACCAAACTCTGCTGACCACCTCTCCATCATCATTCCATTTCCATGTTTCATTCCTCTTCTCCCACAACACTGAAGTTGGACCCAATCACGTCTTTTAGTCATTGCAAGCCATTCTCTCCTCCATATCCATACTCATGCGGATATTCAGCTACTGTCTTATTCCCAAATCCCCATCCCTTTACTTTGGCAGTGATAATCCCATGCTTGGATCCATTCAATCTACCAATTTTCTTTGTACCATAAAAAATCATGGTTACTTACTTCAGCTAAATCCATGACACAACTGAGCAACCTTCCTTTTCTGTTTCCAAGAGAGGCCTTTCTCTATCTTCACCATCCTCCCCCTGAACAAAGTCTCACTGGTTTTGAAAGGGTAGGCCACTCAAGTGGATTTAGAAGTTTTAGGAGAAGAGATGGCAACTAGTCAGGGTATACCCAGAGTTATTATGGAATAAAATCAGAAAGAAAAAAGGCAGAGAACAGAGAGGTAATAGGAGAAGCAAGAGAAAACAGTCCAATGGACTTAGATAATGGAGTTGAGGGTGTCTAAAATACAGATGCCAAAGCTATCAAATTAAACTGGAGACGTTTGATGGCTATCAGAAGATGACTGGATTTGGTGAGGAAGTCATTTCTCGTAACAGTTTCTGTGAAATGGAAAGTGAAATAAATGGAGTGAGTGTGTGTGTGTGTGTGTGTGTGTGTGTGTGTGTGTGTTACAGAAAGTAAGCAATAATAATTATGACAAGAGAGAATAATGAAAGTATAAAAGCCAAGAGTCTATACTATATATATTGGTAGATAACAGATAAGAAAATAAAATCATTCTAAAATCAGAAAAGACTGCAGGGTCATATAAGAGCGTATTGATTTTTCAAGATGGGAAATTTGAAGGCAGGATAGAGAAAAAGCCAGCACAGAAGATTTAGAGGAATGATGAACCTCTGAGTCCAGCTTGCTGACAGCTGTATGAAGGAGGAAAATCATAGAAACAAGACAAAATGGAATTTTATCCTTGAGTTCTCATTAAATCTCCCCCTCTGAAAGAGGTGGTAAGTAGGTGAGTGATTAAGTCCTGCAGGAACTCAATACTGGGACTCTGGACACTAATGTGCAAGCTAAGTTTACTAGAGGTTAAGTGATCTTCCAGGGGCTGGCATCCATGATGTGATCTTTTAGCCATCTTTTGAGATAGGGCTCCTGCAGTGGCCAGGAAGTCTTCTCTAGCCCCATCTACATTAATGCCTCCCACCATATGCTTCCCTTAGACCTCTACTTATCTTATCAGCTTTAAGGAGGGTATTTATGCTCCACTGGGATATAAATTCTGGCCCATGTCTCATTTTAGCTCTGGTGCTCAACATACTGAGCTTGTATTTGGTAGGCACTTAACAAATGACAGCAAAATGAATAAACAGCTAAAGAAAATATTACAGCTAGCCTGGGATCTATCTGGCCTGGTGCCCACAATGCCTGTCAACTTAGATATAACATTTGTTCAAAATACCATCAAATGGAATATTCTCTCAGGAAAATACCACACGATTTTGAACTACCTGCTAACAAATAAACTGATTACAATGGATTGCTAAGCAGACACTCAGAGGTACGCCCCTGAAGTGTTTGAAAGGCACTTTCAATTCAAATGGTACCTAAATAAACATTTCATGACTGGAGGAGATCATAGGTCAGGAAGTCATTTGTAACGACAGTTTCTATGGGGGTTATCTAACCCAACTCCCTCCCAATGGATGTTCAAACATATTCTTTATTAGTTGAACATTAAGTGAAAATTTAGAGTGTACTCCAGTTCTCCCAGGGATGGAATACATGCCTCTTTATGAAAACTCTCATTCCATTTTTGGATTGTTCTAGACAGAGAATTCTGGTGATAGCCATGTCGCTTTTGCCAATGGGTCCCCATACTAACGTAACTACAGAAGAGTCTTCCCTGTGTCTGAAGAAGGCTACAACATCCTCTCCCAATACCTCTCTTTTCTTATTCCTTTGGCCTCTTCATGTGATACCCGTGCCCGATGAAAGGCATATCTCTCCACGTGTTTTCTCATCATTTGTACTTAAGATCTCTCATGAAAACCAACAGAATAATAAAAGATGCTAAAAAGTATAAAATGGAGGTAACATACATAATCACGAGAATAACAACAGTCATGCACATGCACACTGGAGATCTGTCACTATGTCTGACTCTCCCAGCTCTTTCTACCCTGATTTTGAAATGCCTTACCTTAATCCAGTGCCCCACATTGTCAGAGTCAAATGCAGACTGTAGAAAATAGATACGAAGTATCAATGCATAGCAATCACTTTATCAATATTACTATTTTAAGCAGTCTTTCCCACTAAGGCATATAGAAAGATATCATTCATCCTTTCTTCCTAACTTCTCGTTGGCAAGTTCAGCACTAACTAGCAATGAAAGCTCACTAAACCACAGTAGAAGAAATAGGAAGCCTTGTCTGGGACACCCTTATTACTTCTTGTCTAGCCCACCCTGAGACTGGACTGTAACTGATCAGCAGTCTAGGCATCAGCACTTTTTTTTTTTTTAAGTTTTCCAGGGCTAAGAGTCAATGTACAGAAATACTAGATGTAATACTAGATGTAACTTCTCGTGAAATCCATACTAACACTGGTGAATTCACCTCTCTAATTTTCTGCTTAAAGACTGTTCTGGTCCTTTCTTTCCTGTTTGCAGAAGTAGCCAGGTGCCTTCCTGTCCTCCTTATACCTGAGATAATGTTTGGTCCAACAAGAGTTGGGGGGTATAGGACAGAATTATATTATTCAAGTTCTACTGTTGCACCAAGCATATAATGAAGAAAATTAATCTCTACCCAGATGAGATATTAATCTGAAATGAGAAATCGGACCTCAAGGAGCCTCCTCTCTATTTCCTGTGACTCCCAGAAGTTGACAGAACTCTTAATAATCATTGAGCAAACAGGGGTATTTGCTTTGGAGAAAAATTCAGGTCTTTAAAAATAAAAACGATGGGACAGCAAACTAACTGGCACCTGGAAGTTGGTGGGAAAGGCATACTATTCTCCTTCACTTACCTAACACCTCACCTTCAGCTCACCTTACACACAATTAATGCAGCTGTTCTGCTGAATAATGTCGCTGCAACAAAGAAAGAGCTGATCCTATTCAAACACAGTTGAATTGCAGGGCGCTCTTGTGTTTTTACTTGCTTTATCCTCTAGACGGTAATAATGAGCGCTATCAGCAAGAAAAAAAAAATCCCTCTTTTTGTAGTTCTGAAAGTTGTCCCAAATTTTTTACCTTTCATCATCAAATCTATATTCATAGGCTATTTTGGGCCCCATCTATTATGCAACTGATACTTTGCCATTGGAGCAACCTCAGTTTCCACTCTCTAATGCTCTAGCCTATGCCCGCTAGTATCAGGAGCATGATTTCAGTAAGTGGAATGTGCCCCGTGTCCGGAGTTTCTATATTTAGGATAACCCACAAGAATGACTGCCTGGGGCCCCCACAAAAGCCACAGGTCTAGAGGGCTGTTTTTCTTTTTAAAGGAAAATATAGCGGAGGGGTCAAAACAGCTGGTGACGCGCTCTGAAGCTCAAAGTTGAATCCTCTGTTTCAATACTCTCGTTTACATTTAAAGTACTTATTTTTGTGAGTGTTAAGGAGGTATTCTGGAAGGCACACTTGGTAGGCTGTGACTTTGCACATGTCACTTTTGTATGTTCCTAGCTTAAAACGGCGTCGTGGGTTTCTTTTTTTCTTTTCCTTTTTTTTTTTCTTCCCCATGCCTTCAGGAGCTAGTGCAGAGAAGAGGTAACAGATAAAGGAAGTATCTATCTTTGAATGCTGGTGGAATTTAGAAATAACCATAAGGATAAGTACTGAGATATAATAACTTGGACTTCTGGGTTCATTTTCACTATCTGATGTAAAATTGGAAAGGGGGGGGGTGTAAGAGATACTAGCAGAGAGTTTAATGTGATTTTTTTTTCCTTTCAAAGATCCCTTACCTAAGATTTGAAAGGGGGGAGGGAGGGCGGAGAAATATGCGGAAAGTATCCTAAAATTGGTGTAAGAGGTAAGGATTAGGGGCAAATTCCCCTCACCCTAATGGGCACCAGTAGACCTCTCCGCTTAGATGGGAACAATCTTTACAGGTTACTGCCCACCAGAGTTGGGAGTACACAGACCCTAAGACTCCTAGAACCACGCCTTTCAGGGCTGTGTTGGCTCTAGGGCAGTCAAGGCCAGGTAAGGATGCCCCCCGGGGAAGACTGGGGAAGCGCAGGGCGGGAAGCGGCTGGCTTCACGACTGTGTGGCGCCTGGGGCTGGCCCAGGTTCCTCAAAGCTTCCGATTGGGATCACCTTGGGATTCAGCTTCCTCGAGATCCGTTTCCAGCGACTCAGCTCCATCCTCTCCTTTGAGGACCTTTCCTGGGACGCCCGCAGCATTTTTCCAGGCTCAGGCCTAGACTTCGGCCACAACAGTGACAATTGCTTCTCCTCCCAGGCAGCATTTGGGTGGTGCTGGGAGTTGTGGTTCCACCACCTACCAGTTAGACAGGGGTCGGACATTCCGGAACTACTCCTCCCAGGAGGCATTGCGCAGGCAGCTCGCATTGCCCAGTTACCATGGCATCGGTGGGGCTCGCCGGGCTAGCTTTAGCCGGGCCTTTGCCTATGTCTGGCGCCTGGTGATGACGCAGAGCCTCCTGATTGGCTCTGCAGCGGAGGCGGTGGTTCAGTGGGCCGCGAGTTCTGGGAGCGGAACACGTGTTATCTTCTGCCAGGAGTTTAAGGGTCCTGGCGGTACCGAGTGTTGTAATCTGCGGGTGAGTGTCTCTTTTCCCTGATGGGGGCGGGTGAGTCGTGCCCACTTTCTTCATTGCATTTCCGTCCCACTTCCCACCTTGATATTTTCTGATTTCCTGTTGGTCTAGGCTTCTGCCAGCTCAGAGCCTCACCAGTGAGATTGCCGGACATATACACATCTGAGAGAGAAAAGGACCTCGTTTTCCCCCGGCCCCTGCCCGAGGGTGAGCTGTTCAGCCGGAAGTGTTTCTGAACTTACCAGGTACTTGGGTAAGGTCTAAAGCTCCAGGGGTGGCTAACAGAACTAACAGGAAATTGAACCTCAGTAGCCAAGCCTGGATGTTGTGAAGAACAGTCCACTGAAGGTGAAAGTACATACTTTCAAGACAGGGCAGAAATTTAGACGGAAGTTTAGACCCAACTACTTGTTGGCAATTCAGTTTACCGCTGACAAAATGGGACTGTACCTACATCCTGCGAGTACTGTGATGATTGATAATCAATGTATGTAAAACATTCTGCCAGGAAATGTAAACCAAACTTTAAACTGGTGGGAAAATGATAAGGAAGGCTGTGCCCCATAGTCCCAGCACCTGCCCCCTAACTTGAGTATAAACAGAAGATGGCTGAAGAGGTTGTGTTACATGCAGACCTTACACTGTCACAACAGTAGTTCATTTGGAAGAGTTAGTTTCATGTCTGTTCTTTGGGAAAGGTGCCTAGTTTTTCTGAAAGAGAAGCAGAGTTCAGAGAAGTGAACATAATATATTATGTGTCCATTTAGAAAGCCTGTAGAGGACTGATTCTCAACTTTCTTAATGCCGAGACCTAACTTTAATACAGTTCCTCATGTTGTGGTGACCCCCAACCATCACGTTATTTTTGTTGCTACTTCATAACTAATTTTGCCACTGCTATGAATCGTAATGTAAATATCTGTTTTTTTCTCTCTCTGTCTCTGTCTCTCTCTCTCTCTCTCTCTCTCTCTCCTCAAACTCACAGAGATCTGCCTGCTTCTGCCTCCCAAGTGCTTGGATTAAAGGTGTGTACCACTACTGCCCGGCAATATTTGTGTTTTTCTGATGGTCTTAGGCAATCCCTGTGAAAGGATCACTCAACCCCCAAAGGATCAAGACCCACAAGTTGAGAACAATTGCTATAGAGGCTGAGCAGATGGATTGGAGGCAGAGGAGAGAGATAGGAAAAAAACAAAACAAAACACTGTAGCAAAATGAAAAATATCACAGTTAATATGGAAACATTTCATGTGCTATTTGACAAATTTCAGTTTCTCCTAATCCACCAGTCTGTATTATAGCCTCTAAAACTAGACTTATGTAATTTCAGGATCAGCTCTGCTAGGTACCACTGGTGACTGACTGTCTTAGTCACTGTTCTATTGCTCGGAAGAGACACCATGACCAAAGCAACTGAAAGAAAGCATTGAATTTGGGGTTTGCCTACAGTTTCAGAGTTTTAGACCATTAGCATCGTAGCAGGAAGCATGTTGGCATGCAGGCAGACACTGGAGCAGTAGCTGAGAACTGCATCCTGATTTGTAGGCACAGAGGGAGAGATAGACTCTGGCCTTGGCATGGGCTTTTGAAACCTTAAAGCACACCCCCCAGTGACTTACATCCTCCAACAAAGACCACACCTCTTAATCCTTCTAATCCTTTCAAATAGTGCTACTCTTTGGTGACTAAGCATTCAAATATATGAGCCACCAGGGGCCATTCTTATTCAAAGCACAACAGTGACTTTATTAGCTTCACTTTACTGATTTATAAAAGGCAGGTGAGGATCTATGTTGTATTTGGTATGAGGGTTAATGTAGTTAATGTATAAAGCACAGTAAATACCCAATAAGTGTAGCTACTGCAATTGTTAGGCCTTTCAGTGGATGAGATTAGTCTATCTTTATTGTGATGAATAACATTTAGACTTACTCGATCATCATTTGCATTTTTTTTTTACTTTCTGTGACTATTTTTGCCTACGTGTATGTATGTGCATCACAGGCATGCCTGGTACCCTCAAATGAGAAAAGGAAACCTGATCTGAAACTGCAGTTCCAGACAGTTGTCAGCTGCCATTTGGGTGCTAGGGACCAGACCTAGGTCCTCTGCACAAATAGCAAGTGCTCTGAGCCGGTGTCTCAGCCCCAAATTTGGGGCACCTTTCCATGAAGACAATCCATTCAAGAAGCATTAAACATTCTTTCTCTCTTGACAGATGAGGGCAAAAAATGGCAGGGTGTTGTCAGGAATGCACAGATTTGCTCAGAGCCTGTCAGTTTTCCCTACACTCTAGGGCTTCCTCCTTAAGACCCCCCAAAAGCTTTATCTGTGGAAGTGAGATGAAAAAGATAAAGCCGGCCCTAGAAGAGACTCACAGTAAGTGAGAAGAGAGGGGCGGCCATACAAGCAGACAGGACCATCTGATGTCATGGAGATGTTGGTCTGCCGCTTGAGCTGTGCTTGGATTTCAGGTTGTGCCACTCCCAAAATTATGTTTTAGAAGCTACGCCCTGTGGTTGCTGGAGGCTGTTGTGTAGGTACAGCTTTCTAGTGGATACAATGGGCCAGAGAAACCCTGTGATTTATGCATGGGAGCTGTTTCTTCTCAGTAGCTGCCATAGCCCGGTCATTGGTACATTACTTAAAAACAAAAAAAGGACAAAAACCAAAACCTATGTACATGAGTATACGTTTATGTCTATATTGCATATATTAATTCGTAATAAAGACTAGTATATTGGAATGTTACAATTAGAAAAATATCTAACATTGGACAGTGAATGAGGATAGGAAGTATTGGTTCTTCTAGCTCTGAAAAAAAAATTCTGTTTGTTTTTGAATGTTGATTTCCAGCTAAGGTGCATTTTCTAGGGCCAGTAAAATGGCTCAGTGGGTAAAGGCACTTGCCACAAAGCCTTGTGACCCTAGTTTGATTCCTGAGGCCCCACATGGTAGAAGGAAGAACTGAGTCCTACAAGCTGTCCTCTAATCTCCACATTTAATATGCATTAGTGTATAGCGCATGCACACACACACATATAAATGTAATAAAATAAATTTTAAGTATATTTCCAGTGCTGTCCTTTCTTTGTTTCGAAGGGCTAGTGTTTTAAGTTGTGAATCTCAACCTCATATGGGTTTGCCCAAATGAAGGGGGCAGGTCATATGAAAATTTCACAACAGTACGAGCATTCTGAATGTGTGACAATCAAATAGGAATTTAAAACATCAGACAAATGATCCACTGTGTGTTGCATCGTGGAGCTTCACTGCAGCCTTGGTGTGAATGCACAGCTAGACTGTGTGTACTGTCCCAAACACCTCAGCTCAAATTCAGGACTTTTGTGTCTTGTGAATTGTCATGTTTTTACTCTACATACAAAGCTTTCTGCCCTTATAGGAACAGCACTGATGATTATAAGATCAAATTTTAATCAACTCCGAAAAATATTCAAGATGTATCTCCTTAGTATCAGATATTAAGCCAATATTTAATTCTTTATGTAAAAAATAAGCAAGTGTGTTCATTTCATTAGTATGCAAATTTGTTTTAACCTGTTTGCATTTGTGTGTGTACATGCATGTGGAGGTCTGAGACGACATCAGGAATCCTCCATCCTTCTACCTTATTCACTAAGGCAGGGTCTCTCAGTCAAACCCAAAGCTCATTAGCATCGCTGGTTTCTCCAACCGACTTGCTCTGGGGATACTCTCTGCCCCGAGGCTGGAATTAGAGGCAGGCTGTCATACCCACCTGGTGTTTACATGGGTTCTGGGGGTTGAAACTCCTGCCCTCCCACGCAACACAAGTGCTTAAACCATTGAGCCATCTCCTCAGCCCCTTCATCTTTAGTAAATGGTAAGATTATATGTGTATTTTCTTTATGATTTGTTATTAATGATGTTTTGTTTTTTAAGACAGGGTTTCTCTGTGTAGCTTTGGAACCTGTCCTAGAACTCACTCTGTAGACCAGGCTGGCCTCAAACTCAGAGATCCACCTGCCTCTGCCTTCCTGAGTGCTGGGATTAAAGGTGTGCGGCACCACCGCCCGGCCTTTTTGCATTTATTTTATGTACATAGGTTTTATGACAATTTCTTTGGCAAAAAGAGGTTGTGACTAGAAACTGTGTGAGCAGCTGTGCCCAGGGCTTACAGATACATAGTTCTGGTTAAGAGTGAAAGAAGCTGTGTTTTCTTCAGTCACAGCAAGCTGGGAAAGGGTGATGGAGAATGCACCCAGGATTAAGTTAGTTCTGCTCCGGGCTCTCCCGTTAAATGATGGGGCCTCTTAGACCATATTTACTCTTCTCTCTTGAGGAACTGGGCTTCCCCCAGCAGAAGAGTGGGTCTTGGAAGCCAAGAGCCTGGGCTTCCGGGTGTAAAAGCCTCTGCACCCTTGAAACTGCTACACTCTTGAGCAGTGGCTGGTCTGACCTTGGAGAAGGAGTTGCTTTATATTGAGAGCATTTGTGACAGTTGCCTTATGAATATATTTGTTGCTTATTTTAATTCTCTTTGTACCCAATTTTATATTTAGCTTCCTGTATGGGTCTTCTGTAGGGCAAAGGCACTTACTGACCCATTTTTCCTTTATCTGATTTGGTTGTTTAGTCTTCAATTCTAAAAATTGCTCTTGGAATTGCTGACTTGTTTCATTTTTTTTTTTTTTAAATCACTAAGTTTTGCATTAGTTTAAGTTTTGCTTTGCATTTTGGCTTGGGATTAGAACAGAATTTCCAACCGTTTATGCAGTGGTTCTCTGCATACCTCTGCCATTTTGTTCTATGTATTTGTG